AAAAAAAAAAAAAATCTTAAACAACAAAACAAAACCCAAGTCGTACAATATATAGACCTTACTCAGATTTCACGCATTTGTACGTGTTTCCGTGTGTGTGTGTGTGTGTGTGTGTGTGTGTGTGGCGTTCCGTGCATCTTTATTGCGCATACAGGTCATGCAGCCACCACGGCAGTCACAATGGAGAACTGCTCCGTCACCACAGGGCCCTCCGTGCTGCCCCTTCAGAGTCGCATCGCCACCCCCGCCGCTTGGCAACCACTGATCTCTGCTCCATCTCTGTGTTTTGTGATTATGATTTCAAGAATGTCATGTAAATCACCCCCCTTTTGATAAAAGGGTTCATGAACTTCCGTGATGTAAAAATCAAAATGTACTCTGTTGAAGAATCACATAAACACTGATGAAATTCATAAAGGTTATTGAGAATACAATATAGAGAAAGATTAGGTGTGTTTATTTCAAGTACTTCGAAAGGAATATTTATAGTGGAAATCTGATTTTTTTTAATAGTATTCTTCCCTTTCTCTTTTCAGGGCATTCCTTAAACATTCAGTAGAGCTCGTGTACGTTCTAGAAAGCCGACATCTCTCCGTCATCCTACAAGGTAATTCGTTACTGAAAACACTGGTCACCACGCCAGGCAGCTTGGTGACTGTCGCATTCCAGGCAGTCACACGACTCCTGGCCGTCTCTTACTGACGACGGTGCCACCAGACACAGTACAGCTTCTGCACCTCCGTCGAGGACAGCCCTGCTAACGGCTGCAGGCAGGAGACTAGAACGGAGTCCAGTTTTCTGCCCTGTGTTAAACCTTCCGTCCTGTAGTGTGAGAAGGGCGGGTCACAGCTCCACTGGAGTCGTACAAAGTGTTAATCTTGGCAGAGCGTCCTTTCTCTCTAACCTTGCTACGTTTCAAATTCATACAAATTTTAGTTTATATGCCTTTGGATCACACTGGATTGGACTCTGAAGAAATAGTTTGGTATCAAAAAATTGAGTTGAATAGCTAATGTGAATTTTGTCTGATGTTTAGGGAGGAATAAATCGTGCAATATAAAAATATTTCAGTTAAGGATAATTATATGTGAAATAACTTTACAGCTAAGAGAATTTCTAAGCTTACTGATAATAAAGTTTCATAAACCATGAACTACCTTATTTTATGATATATTCACATTGCATAGTTTATGAATATGCTACGCTACTGAAGCTTACAGAAGTATTTTTACCAACTGTCAAATTTAACTGACTTGAGCAAAGTAAAGGATATTTAAAACCCTTAGGGGGAGAAAAGAATAGTGATGCACTATTTCAAGTAATCCTTAACCGATGCAATCAGTGTTATTTAATTCACAAATGCATGCAGAGCCCAGCAACCCAGTAATCTCTCCTCTCAGCCAGTGGGTGTTCTCATCCTATTGCAAAATCCTACTTTGCACATGTCTTGAAGCATTTGTTATAATACAAAAGGCTTAGAAGAGATACTGAGGCTGCATTTTACTATCACTTTCTTTTAGAACCTGTTTTTGAAATAGCTTATTGAGGTATAATTCACATATTGTAAAATTCACCCATTCTGAGTGTGGGAATCAATAATTTTTAGTAAATATACAGAGTACATGTAGAGTTCAGAGTCCAGTTCTAGAAATTTTTTATCACACCAAAAAGATTCCTTGTGGGCGCCTGGGTGGCTCAGTTGGTTAAGCGACTGCCTTCGGCTCAGGTCATGATCCTGGAGTCCCGGGATCAAGTCCCACATCGGGCTCCCTGCTCAGCAGGGAGTCTGCTTCTCCCTCTGACCCTCTTCCCTCTCATGCTCTCTGTCTCTCATTCTCTCTCTCGCAAATAAAAAAATCTGAAAAAAAAAAAAAAGATTCCTTGTGTCCCAGCCCCAGACAGCCACTAATCTGCTTTCTGTCTCTGTAGATTTGCTCTTTCTGGATGTCTCATATAAACAGACTCATACAGTATGTGATCTGTTGCTTCTTGCTTCTTTCATTTAACATACATGTTTTTGAGGTTCATTCATGTAGCATGTATGAGCAGCTTGTTTCTTTTTATTTCTGAGTAGTAGTCGTTTGTGTCAATACCACCTTTTATTTATACATTTAGTTATTGATGGACATGGGGTTGTTTCCATGTTGTGGCTATTACGAATTATGCTGCTGTGAACATTCATGTAAAAGTCTTCATGGGGAACATACGTGTTTCTTTCTTGTGGGGAGGTGCTTAGAAGTGGCATTGCTCAGTTCTAGGAGTTACCATCCTTAAAGAATGATGTTGGTTGTGGGTTTTCATAGATTCCTCTTACCAGGTTGAAGTACCCTTCTATATTCCTAGTTTGCTCAGAGTTTTCATCCAGAATGAACTCGGAATATCACATAGATGATTTTTATGCATCTGATGAGATGATTATGTTATTTCTATCATTTATTTTATTTATATGAAGTACTACTTTGATTGTTAGATAGATGTTAAACCAACCTTGCATTCCTGGAATAAATTCTTGTGTTCATGAGATAATTTGATTTGCTCATATTTTGTTGATGATTTTATAATCTAATTACAAGGGATACTGGTGGACAGTTTTTTTCTGATTTCTTTGGCTGGCTTTGATATCAGGATATTTACTGGCTTCATTGAAAAGGACACCAGCTATAAAAGATGGGAGGAAGATGTTTGCCACCGTTTCAGATGATGGTGGGCAGTCCCATCCCCCTCATTCACTTCGGAGTCACCATGTGGAGTTGCCAGTAGAAAGATTACATTATATTTAATATTCTTAGGAAACAGAAGTAGAATGGACTCATGAAAGAGTTCCACCACAAGCCACTGAAATGTAAAAAGTGTGAGGGCTGTGCTCTATTTTCTGGAAAATATTCATGTATAAAAGACTATCTCCCATTAAACACTAATTGATCTGAAAGTCTGTAGTGTTTTAGAGTTGCTGGAATCCAGTAAACTTTCCTAACTTGGATTATTTTGAAGGAGCCTAAGCACAGAGTACTGTATTATCCACTTTACCCTTTCTCTCAGCATTTTTCTATGTAGTAGTCATTTTCTTTCCATTTTCTTGACAGAGGAGGAGGGAAGAGACTTGAGCTGTATTGTAGCTTCTCTTGTTCAAGTGATGCTGGATCCCCATTTTAGGACAATTACAGGATTTCAGAGTCTGATCCAGAAGGAGTGGGTCATGGCCGGATATCAGTTCCTAGACAGATGCAACCACTTAAAGAGATCCGAGAAAGAGGTAACGGAATCGTAATGCTCATTGGGAGGGAGTCTTTAAGTGTGCACAAGATAAAACTCATGTCATCGTGTGAAGAGGTGTTCTGTCTGTAAAGAGACGAGGAGCCTTTTTAAATACTGCATTTGGTACCCCTTAGCTTCTTAGTCTAACGTTGGGTTCCAAATTGATGCACTTACGAAGATGACTGTAACTATATAGGTAAAATTCAAAAAAAATTGTTGAATTTCTCCAAGTTGAAAACTACTTAAAAAATCTGTATTATCTCTTCTGCAAAGCAGATAACGAGCACATTAGGTATTTTGAAAAATCAGATTTGGAATATCACATTTTCTTAAAATGGGGCACATGTGTGGAGAATGGAAAGTTGGCGAGGGACATCTTTGTAACAGCTGTGGGTGTAGTGGCCACCGTGGGTGCAGAGGTGAGAAAGCTGTGAACAAGCCTCTCCCGGACTTGCTTGTTTCAGAGAGCACAGTCTGACTCGTAGGGTCTCCTTAGGGTCTCGTGTTTAACAACAAGCTGCACCATCTGAGGAAATCTCAACAGTGACTACTTCACTTTTAAATTGCTGGGACTCCCAGATACAGTCATTGATCATCAGCTGCTGTACTTGGGGATCCACCGTGTGACCTAGAGGCTAATGCCAACCGCTTCCTGAAACTCTGGGGAGTTTTCTGGTTGCTGAGCCTGCACCAAGTCCACCAGAAGTGAATTACAGAAGTCGTTTCTTGCTTTGGGATTATTGTTTCTTTTTTTCTGTGTTCTAAAGAATTATTTCCAGGACAGACTTAATCACATCTTTTAGTGTCCCCCATTCATACAGTGACACCTGCCTGTTGACTTTGCCATTTCAACTTGATAGGCTTCTTTGGCAAGCAAGGGCTGTGATGTTCATGGCCGTTGAACCTACTTCTGACCTTTGACATAAGCCGTGTTTAATCTGTCTGCATATCCTTGGCTCAGGTTAGGAGCCAAGTGTTTTAGCTGAGATATTTTCTTAGTAATCTCTTCCTTAACATGAGCCATAAATTTGGAAATAAATGGGAACAACTGAAGGACAGCATTAAATGTTCCCATTTTCTGTCTGTGTCTGCCAGTGTCCCTTATTTCTGCTGTTCTTGGATGCCACGTGGCAGCTCCTGGAACAGTACCCGGCGGCCTTCGAGTTCTCGGAGACGTACTTAGCAGTGCTGTACGACAGCACCCGCATCTCCCTCTTCGGCACCTTCCTCTTCAACTCTCCTCACCAGCGGGTGAAACAAAGCACGGTAAGCGAGGTTGTGGCGATAGCGACTTCTCTGTTTGTCTTACCCAGCTTTATTGAGGTAGAATTAAAGTACACTCAGCTGCATATTTAAACTATGTAAATTAAAACTGTCGTAGCTACCATTTTAAGCTGCAGTTTCTGAATGAATTATTTAAAGACATAAAAAATCTAGGAACCTGTTTCATTTTTATGAGTGAGCACTTCAGGTATTTTTCTCTGATGTACATTGTTCATAATAAACCAGTTTTTAGGGGCGCCGGGCTGGCTAAGTCGGTAGAGCATGCAGCTCTTAATCTCAGGGTCAGGAGTTCAAGCCCCTTGTTGGATGTGGAGCCTACTTAAAAAAAAGAGAGAGAAAGAAAGAAAAAGAAAATGTGATATGTAACAATTAAAAAAAAAAATAACCAGTTTTTAAAGATGTAAATTATTTTAACCACCGTAAATGTTGTGCTTTTATATTTATGTTTTCACATTTGGGCTGTCTGGGTGGATAATTGAAAAGGTCCTGTTAGAGGACTTTTATTTCCTAGAATAAAAGCTGTACAAAGCAGGATTATTTTCTTTAAGAGTTCTGCGGAGAAGGACTGTCGGAGATGAAGGGTAGCCGTGGTGCTAGACGGATTCTCAGTGGGTGCTGGCTTACCCAGTAATCTCAGAATCTGTCCCACCTGCCATACAGCGTCCCTTTGGGGTAGGATTATCAGTTTCTAGTCACATTTCATTGACCTAGAGGAAGAATCATGGCTAAGGAGGGTCTCAAGCCAAACTTGAGAATAACTTCCAATTGCCACTGGTAGAACCTTCTGGAACTACAGGTTCTGGCTCACCCACATTTGAACCAACAATGGGAATAGCTGGTAAACGCTGCGATAACCACTGAGAGAAACAGAAAGGGCAGCTCTTGTGGGCCTCTAGGAAGACTTTCTAAGAAGGGGGTTGCCTTCACAGGGAGCTGTGGGGTCCTCAGCCTTGGCGGTAAGGCCCTCGTCCAGGCGATGTGACCTGGATTAACCTGAGTCCCGCCCAAGGTCTGGGAGAATGGTGAGCCCAGGTTCCTCAGCTGTAAAAATGGATCCACCAAACTAACAGTATTACCTTTGGCCTCAGTCTGTGAATTGAAGACATTTTGTAAACTGTGAAGCATTATGCTACACTATTTCCTAAAGAAATGAATCGTTCTAGATGTGGATATGAAAGACAAAGTGCACTGGACATTTAAGGAGGTGATTTCATTCAGGCTGTTGCAATAGGAGGAACCTTATTAGTGAGGAACATCCCAAAGTAAAGGAGGGGACCTGGGGGCTTGTTACGAAGGCAGGAGACAGGAGACATGAGGGAGCAGGTCCGACCTCAGAGTAGGTGAGCCGTGTCTCAGCCGTGCTCTCCAGGGGCTCAGGTTCGGAGAAACTCAACACTGTCATAGGGTGTTTATTTTAGGTTGGAGAGTTCGGGAAGGAGATTTTCATAAAAGATATCCTCTGCTTCCCTAGAAGAACGTAACCTATCCCAGTCCCGTGCTGAGACCAGCGGTGGGCTTGGGCTCCTGAAGTGTGGGCAACTTTGTTCCTCAACTAAGTGGTCTGCGGTTGCTCCTTTTCATTTCTCGTCCACTGAGCCGCCTCAGTGTTGGGCCCCTTGCTGTGCTGTGGGCAGTACTGCGCATGGCGGTGCTCGCCTCCTCTCCCTGCGCTGCCCCTCGAGCACACCCGTGCTTGCACCCAGGGATGCGTGCGCACGCACACACACACGCGCGCGCACACACACACACACACACACCATTTGAGCCTTCAGAATGTACACGAGGCTAGGAAATCAAACAGCCTTGTTGGACATAAAACCTTAGATGTAAAATGCCAGTCCATCAGCCTGGCGGTCCCAGTGACCGCAGTGCCTTGGGTGGGCGCTGCGGGGTGCGGGTCTCTGTGGAGCCCAGGTTGGCCTCCTGGAGACACTCACTCCTCACCCCGCTTCTTGGCTGGATTCTGGATGTGCCGACGTATGTTTACAAATAGATTTCTCTACAGGGATAAAAGTTAACAAATATTTTTTTAAAGTGTATCATCTGTTTTTCCTGGTCTGTGTTCCAGTGCTGTATTTTTTTAACTTGGCTTTTTTCAAAAGCTTTTTCTGGCAAGTACTAACATTGGATGCCTCCCTCCCGCGGCACTTCATATTCATGACTTGGTGTAACAGCCAGACTGGAGGCCGTCGGTGCCTCCCCTGCCCTCCCTGAGAAACTGTCCTGATTTTTAGCATGACCACTGTTCTCAGTCCCTGCCACAAAGACGTTTCCTTCTTTCCTCCATTCTGAGGCCACCTTAGATACTCATGGTCAGGTACTGTTCGTGGAAAATCTGATCTTCTTCCTTGGAGATATTTTTAGTTTTCACATTTAAAAACAAAACAAAACAAAAAGGTAACTGATTTCTATATATTTTCCTAAGGGCCATTAAAATAGTTTGGGGTTTTTGTTTTACTAGATTTCAGCTCTTAACAATACTTTTTTTTTTTTTTTTAAGCAAATGGGTGGTTTCTACATGCACATATATGATGAAATCTCAAATAACTAAAAAAAATTTTTTTTAATATATTTCGTGCTTAATGAGTTCAGTTTTACTCATTTGGAGTAGACAGTGTTGTAAACTGCCCTGTGCTGTTGGCTAGCTTCCCTGTTCCCTGCTGGTTCCCAGCCTGTGGCGGGGAGCCGGCCGCCTCACTGCAGCGCTGCTTTTCTGATGACAGTCTTTGCCTTTTTTTCTAATTTCCAAAGAAATTCTTGTTTTTTTGGAGAATACTGAAAGGTACAAAGCAGGAAATAAGAACCCATCATCTCCCACCATCCACAAAGTCGGTATCTTGAGAGATTTCCTCCGGAGAGCTAATAATCTGCATACACCTGCTTGTGTCACTTGCCAAGATGAGGGTCATGGTTTGAGATGCTCCTCACCTCCTCCCCGCGGAAGCGGTGGGCTGTCACCCTGCAGCGTTATGCCGCTGGCTCACCGGGCCGCCTGAGCCCAGAGCGGGCTGGAGGGGGGCTCCGGGGAGCAGGGGGCCCGGGCCCCGAGCGTGGTCTTCGTGGACTTGGCCAGACGCCGGGACTGTGCACGGTGGGGGGCGGATTCCTTCCTCCGTGCCCCTGGGCTGTGGTTCAGATACCGAAGGTCACTGGGTAAGTGAAGGGTGGCTGTCCACTTGGAAAAACGGGGTAAAATGGATGGCAGTGATTGCCATCCGCAGATTTTCCTGCATGTCCGTTCGCCATGTTTTATGCCCCGCGGGTAAATACATAAGTGTGCGATCGATCATGTGCTCAGAAAGTAAAATGCGCCAAGTATAGAAGTAACTGCGTTGTAATGATGTACTCGTTGCTCGGAGGGCCCAGCTTCCTTGGTGGCTTCCAGAAGAAAACGCCCTGTCCTCGCTCACACAGCGTGCGGGGTGTCTTTCTGATCGTGGTGCCGAGAATGTCTCTTCTCTCAAAGCAAAACATGCTGATCTCAGGGGCTAGAGTTGCTGCAGTCCAGAAAATGCAACTTAAATAGTGATGAATGGCTCGTCCCAAAAAAGGAATGTACTTATTAAACTCTTTTCATTTGGTATCTTTTCACAGATGTTCAAATATTTTGTTTTGCAGGAATTTGCTATCAGCAAGAATATCCAGTTGGGTGATGAAAAGGGTCTAAAATTCCCCTCGGTTTGGGACTGGTCTCTCCAGTTCACAGCGAAGGACCGCACCCTTTTCCATAACCCCTTGTACATCGGGAAGAGCACGCCCTGCGTCCAGAACGGTTCTGTGAAATCTTTCAAACGGACAAAGGTAAAGTACACAAACGCACTGACGCTGAAAACCTGGTATCTGCTCACACCGCACACAAGGCGTGTTTTCAGAACACCGAGTATTAAGAGCCAGGTCACTTCCCTTGACCCCGCTGCCGGTGCAGATTTTGAGGGATCATTCGCTTTGTAACGGAAATGACCCTGCCCTGCCTTTTCTTCTTGGTGCCTGAGGCCCGCAGAGCTCGCTCAGCCTCTAGGATTTGGCCGATAGGAGCTCGGAGCCTGGGAGGCCCCATTCCTGAAACCCTATCCCCTCGCCTGTTCTTTCTAGGAGGAGCCAGGTGTACATTTTTTCCTAACCGAGAAGTCTTAGAAATTTGCACTTAAGCGAATCACTGAACAGTAGGGATTCGGGCCGCACCCGACGCAGGCGAGAGCTACCAGCCGGAGTCCGGTCCTAGAGGCTGGAACTGCAGGGGACGAGGACTGGGAGGAGCATCACAAGGGAAGGGACAAAGAGTTCCGTTTTTCATAGCGCCAGGCTTCCCTTTGCCGCTGCCCCTTTACTGTCTTCCCAGAACGGGGCGCCCCGGAGAGGTAATGCTGAACTCTCTATCTCCCCAGAAAAGCTACAGCTCCACGCTGAGAGGAATGCCGGCTGCCTTCAAGAACGGCGTCCTCGGCGACCAAGACTTAGTCCCCAGGAGAAATTCGTTAATCCTACCAGCAAAGCCCGAGCCCCCTCAGCACCCCGACAGCCGGCAGAGCGGGCTGGAGCGCTACTTCACCGAGTGGTGCTCCAGACCGGCCGACCTGCACGGCGTCCTTCTGCCGCACGTGTCCGGGCCGCGCGTGAAGCTCTGGAAACTCTGCTACTTCCGCTGGCTGCCGGAGGCGCAGATCAAGCTCGGCGGCTTCATCACTGCCTTTCACAAGCTCTCCGTGCTGGCCGACGAGGTGGACGCGCTCAGCAGGACGCTGCGGCAGCCCCGGGCCGGCCCCCCGCAAGCCTGCTCTCCGGGGCTGGACAAGAGCAGGATGTACTTCCGGGCCGGCGGCCCGCACGACGCCTCGGGGACGCCGGACTTCCTCTCCTCCTCCTTTCCCTTCTCCCCCGTAGGCAACCTGTGCAGGCGAAGCATTTCGGGAACGCCACTAAGCAAATTTTTAAGTGGGGCCAAAATATGGTTATCTACTGAGACACTAGTAAATGAAGACTGAAGGGTCCTATTTGCTGAACGTTTGGAGGGAAGCCACAGACTTCTCCTCTGAATTAAAATTGCTAACCTAGGCATTTGAGGCTCTAAGAATTTTCTATGTCAGAATAACAGTGGAAATTTGCACTAATATTTGGAAACCTGTTGAATTAGGCTTCCTTCGTAATTTTTTTTTTTTAGAAACAGGCAGAACTTCTCTTTTTGATGGCCTCTTTTTGCCATTGCAGGTCTGGCCAGTTGTAGGTGATCTGGAGGCAGACCTTCCCCCACTCTTACTACTGTGAGCAAACCAGTTAACAGGAAAGTTCGGAAATTAGTGTGTAGTAGATTTTCAAGATGCATCCGGTAAGCTCCCCGCACAGGCGTTAGGAGGTATTCATAGATTTTTCCGGTCACTGTCCGTTCTCTGCGATCACCTGAGGGCTCAGTATTTCCAAGGCCATAATTTATTGTAGATCACCTTGTTTGGGACCGTAGATCACTGTGTTTTAAAATCCTGAGTTTGCTTTCACCTTCATAGGACTAATATGCACGGTTGACTTCGAAAGCATTTGCTGTAGATAATACCAACTTAGAAGTGCCTTTGACATTAATATTAATTAAGGTACGCATTAACACAAAGTAAACCACAGTTGCAGTTTTTAAAATAAGGGTGTTAAAAGCCTGCATATTGGAAACAGGCTTTTCGCCTCGGAGCTTCCTGCCGGTAGCCAGGAGTCCCCCAGAGCACATTGCCTTCCCTCTGAGAGTCAGCGAGGACAAGCGGGCGTGGGGGGGGCGGGGGTCCGCGTTGGTGGGACCGCAGCCGGGGAGAGTGCTGTCCGCCAAAACCCTCCCGCAGAAAGAGCCCGCTTGCTCCCGGGGGGCGTTTGGGGCGTCGCCGTCTATGCCCAGGGTGGTAGGCGGTCGCGGACACTTGCCCTTGGAGATCACTAAGGCGGCCGTGAGTCCGCTCGCCTGTGCGGAAGGCCCTCCTCCCCCCGACGAAGTGCCTGGCGGCGCCGTAGAGCCAACAGGGCAAATGACAGTGCACTTCTCTCAAAAGACCGCCATTTCCGTGTGGAGAGAAGCCCCCCGCCCCCCGGCCTCTGCCAGCCGTGCGGAGAGGGAGAAGCGCGCACACAGGTGTGTGGGGGTCACCCCGTGGGACCGGAAGCGAGCGAGCGCTGCGGGCTCCTTACGGCAGTGGCCTTCACCGCTCCCTCCGATGCGCGCCCCCAGGCCCTGTTGACAGGTGGATGTTTTCAAATTGGGCTGTTACTTAGAGTTTCTTCATTAAACTGCCGTCTTAAGCTTTACAGAAGTTTTGCAGTGAAGTGGTTAATCTTTTCTAAAACAAGTTTTTTCAGAGCAGTGTCTTACTGTCACGTGTAATGAATAGCTGTTTCTGTTTGAATTATTCACCTTTTTAAGATTGATGTCTCTGGACTTTGAGGACAGAAGTTTTCATAAAATGTCTTCGGAAATTCATCTGTGAATAAGCCCAATGTTTTTGCCAACCTAGGCCTAGAAAGTCGGGGCTTTTCTCAGTAGCACTGTTACTATAAACGTTTTATAGTCCCTGATTGGAAACCAGTCCCAGGCCCCTTAAAATCCCACAGCGTATCCTGCCACAGAAAGTGTCATAATTCTCCCTTTTTGATTAAGCTGCCTTTTTATTATTACAAATTATTCTAAACTGGGGGGTTTTGGAGAGGGATTGTTGAGCATTTGTATCTTTATACTTCTCTTTCCTCACACATTTATCTCAACTCCTTGAGCAATTTTTTTGTTAATTTACAAGTTTAAAGGAGATTAGGTACTATCAATACTGTTTTAAAATAGAAAATGTGCATATTTTTGTATGATAATCAAACGTAGTAAAATACGGTTTTTCGTTTTATTTTCGCTGGACAGTTGTATCATGATTACCGTGCCGCAGGTTACCGCGCATAACATGATGTACAGCTGTAACGGCGTCAAGTCGTAGCCGTCGTAAGGCTGCCGGCACCGCTGATGGCCCGGGGGGGGGCGCAGGCGCGTGCAGGAGCCGAAGCCACACCGGAGGGCGCCTCCCGCTCCGGCTCCGGCCCCGCTGCCCTGCGAGCCAGGTTCGTGTTGCACGGGCCCGACAGCTTGGGACTCCTAGTACTGGTGAAAGATGTACAATGTCTTACTGTTATTTTATGATGGAAACCGGTTCTAAAACCAAAAATGTCTTAACTTTATTTAAGAAAAGTGTATTAATTTGTGCTAACGGGGAAAATCAGTCAGCATACCTTCAACGAAACCTGCTTGCCGTAGCCGTAACCTCAAGTAGTTAGAACTTGATTTTGAGAGAAAACTAAAAACCTTTGTGCCTAAAATTGATGGACTTCAGTTAAAGTAGGATGAGCAGGAAGATGAGAGAGCCTGCTCAACAGTGATGACTGTGAAGGAAATTTTGACTGCTAAATAAAATTCCCACAGAACTTGGTGGTTGTAGTTGTTATCAATACGAGATCATCTACAAGAACGTAGTGATTCAAGAAGCGAAGGCGTCTTCTTCCAACTCTACTTGTGTGGGTGTCATCCACTCAGGTTTTTTTGCCTGCTCTAAAGCAAGACAGTGATCGGTAACATTTTTAACATCGATTCAGAACTGGCTGTAGTTAAGGCCACGTGGGTATTAATGGACCATGCCCTAACCTGTCCTTCCGTTCAGTAAATCACCAAGCTGGGGAGTAACATTTCCCTAAGAAGGTCTCCGAACCAGTCTGTGGGGACTGGGGTCCCCATCCCGGACTCCTGGTCCTATAGTTCTGGTTAGTTGCCTTCCTACCATATACCTTCCTCAGCCTAGGGCTCTTACGAACAGCCCTGTTGCAGTGACACCGTCTATACAGAAAATTGCCCCTCTAGTCATGAGGGAGGGACAGTTGCCTTTGATAAAGACTGTTCATTCCTTTGATGATCTAGGCCCAATTAGTAAGAGCAAGTTAAAAGGTAAGGAATTTAATGAGAATTTATTTTTAATTCCCAGAGAAAGAATTTCATCTATTTGTGCCCTTCTTAGATAATCATAAAACAAGAATGTTTAACAGCTGAGTATATCCGGGCAGTATAGAAAACCTTAAATACAGGTCTCTCCAATATACTAAACTAGAGACATTGGGTATGCTACTTTTATAAAAGACCAAAAGCTGTGAAACATCCCATTTGTTTGGATTTTTTCCAGCTGTTTTGCAAGTGTAGCTTAGTAACATAGATGCATCCCTTTCCTAAAATGGCCACCAAGGTCATAAGCTTCTAGAAAGTTCATTACCTGCTATGTGGAATCAGTGAGTACATTCAAGCCAAGACCAAGTTTTATGACACACAGACACTGTACAATGATGAGTCGTAAACTCTCAGGTTTATTACTGACATAACAAAGTTAAATAAAATGTAATGATGCTTTATGCTTTTGAAAATCAATCCATGTGTCACCAGACACCCCCAACTCGACAGCTCTTAGGTGAGGCTTTTGCTCTTAGCTCCAACAGCAACCACGTGGCAGACTTCTACGTCGGCCCCCAACTTCTGCAGTTCATCCAACCAGAGCATTTGCTTATGTGAAAGACGATCACTGGGGCCTTTAACTTCCACCAGCTAGAATGTAAGTTTTAAAAAAGTTATTTAGTGGGCGCCTGGGTGGCTCAGTTGGTTAAGCGACTGCCTTCGGCTCAGGTCGTGATCCTGGAGTCCCGGGATCGAGTCCCGCATCGGGCTCCCTGCTCGGCAGGGAGTCTGCTTCTCCCTCTGACCCTCCCCCCTCTCATGTACTCCCTCTCTCTCATTCTCTCTCTCTCAAATAAAAATAAATAAAATCTTTAAAAAACAACAACAACAAAAAAAGTTATTTAGTATCTTACTGAAACAGAATAGCCAAGTATGCTGTAGTAGTTTTCACTGACACTGCTCTACTTATAAAACAAAGATACATGTATGAAGTTCACTTGAGAATTATTCTGTAGAAAGTAGGCAGTTCTTCAGAGAATTACTACATTGTTTCTGAATATACAGTTGACAAATAGTTTTAAAGCATGCACTAGATTGTTGCTCCCCTGCTTAGAAATTATTTACTTTCTAATCACAGAGCTTACTTTCTGTTATATTTGCAGTTAAATCCAAACTTTTGCCATGACTTACAAAACTATCATCTGGACCCTGCCAACCACTCCAAAGTTCCTGAGAAAGACCAACCTCTTCCCAACCGAAGGGCCCTTCCATACGCTTGCTGTTCCCTCTGCCCAGGACACTTCTTCCTGTTCTTCACATGTCTGACTTCTTACCTTTCAATGCTCAGCTTAAATCCCCCTCCTAGATGTCCAGCACATCTCAAAGCAGGGTCCTTCTATGCACTTCCTCCACGGCATTTATCAGAAGACAAAACTGTTCATTACATACCAGCTCCATGAAGGCAGGAACTGTGTCAGTTTTATTCACTGCAGATTACTGAACTTCAAAATGGCAATAAAAACTATCCAGATTTTCCAAATTTGATAGAAACTACAAACCCAAAGATCAATGAACCCCAGGCACAGAAACATAACACTACACAAAGAAACATAATGAAGTTGCATAATTGGTGATAAAGGGAATATTCTAAAAGCAGCTAGAATTTTTTAAAGCCTAAAGGGAAAGACTACACATTTATCATTAAAAAACAATGCAAGCTAGAGGACAATGGACCAGTATTTCAAATTACTGAAAGGAAAAAACTATCAACATAGAATTTTTTCCTCAGAGAAAATATCTTTCAAAAGCAAAGATGAAATGAAGACTTAGACATAGAAAACCTAAATTATTCATTACTAGCAGACCTCCATTTCAAGAAGTGTTAAATTCTTTAAGCAGGAGGACTACAGTACGTGGAAATCTGGATCTTTACAAAGGAATAACAAGCAGTAAGAATTTCTATCTAGGGGGAGACCTGGATGGCTCAGTCAGTTGAGCATCCGACTCTTGATTTCGGCTCAGGTCCTGATCTCAGGGTCCTGGGATCAGGCCCTGCATCGGGCTCCGGGCTCAGCAGAGGCTTGAGGATTCTCTCCCTCCCTCTCCCTCTTCCTCTACCTCTCCCGCTGCCTGTGTTCTCTCTCAAACCAATCAATCTTTGGGGGGAAAAAAAAAAATTTGTACCTAGGGGAGGAAAACTAATTTCTATCTATGTGAGTAATTATAAAGATTCTTAAATCAACTGTAGAAAGCAAAAAAATGTAGAATTTAGAACATATAGAAAAATGATGTATGAACAGTACAAAGGCCAAGAGAGGAGATATAAAAACATGTTTTTTATACTATACATGTAATAGCATAACATCACTTGAAAGACAGGAAGCTTAAGATCTACACTGGAGCAACCACTTACAACAATTATAGCTAACAAGTCAACAAAGGACTAGAATACAATCTTTAAAAAAAAAAAAAGGTAGAAAAAGGTGAGAAAAGGAGAACAAGAGAGCTGAGACAAACAGAAAACAAGTATCAAGATGGTAGCTTTAAAGCCAGTCATCAATAAGCACATCAAATGTAAATGGTCCAAAAACCTAATTAAATGGCAAGAGGTTGTCAAACTGAATTAAAAAGTCAGACCCAGCTATAATGCTGCCTACAAGAAACCCATTAAAGATGAAATAAGTTAAAAGTAAGAGAAAAAGATATGTCCTGTTAGCACTAATCAAAAGAAAGCTGGAGTGGCTATTTATTAATATCAGTTGATTTCACAGTGGAGAACACTACCAGAAATAAAGGAGGGTCATTTCACAATGATGAAGAGATCAACTCATCAAGAGGATGTGACAGGCCTTCAAGTTTATACATCTAATCACAGAGCTTCAAAATATATGAAGCAAACTGGATAGAACTGCAAGGAGAAATACACAAATCCACAGTTCCAGTCCGAGATGTCCCATGACCCCAAAAGTATGATCCATTAAAGAACAGAGAAGTTGGGACTTGGCCAAAATAAAAATTTCTGCTCTTCAAAAGACACTATTATGAGAATGAGAAGACAAGCCACAGCCTGGGATGAAATATATTTGATACAGGGCTTGTATCCAGAATTTTTTTAATCTCAGAACTCAGTAATAAAAACCAACCTGGGATGGGCAGCAGGGGAACACCAGGGTGAGGCAAGGTGGCCCTGAGCCGAGAACACATGATGAGGAGCTAACTCCTGGGGAGCTTAGAGAACGGCTTCCTGTCATCTCAGCCTCCTGGTGTTCACACCTGCAGAATCCCATCCCTTGCCAGGGAGGGTGGGGGCGGGGGGCACGCACTGGAATCTGTGACTTGCTTCTAACAGAATAATACGGCCAAAGTGATGGAACGTCCCTTCCGCGATCAGGTCATAGGAGCCCGACTCCCGTCTTGCTCACACTCTGGCTCTTCTCCCCAGCCTGCTCTGATGAATGAGCCGCCAAGTGGCGCGCTGCATGGCGGAAAGGAGAGGCCCCCACACCAGGGGCTGCGGAGGAGGCCCCCGCCAATAGCCACTGGGGAACCATGGCCCTCGGTCCCACAGCCAACAATCACGCAAGAAATGCATGGATCGGAGCCTCTGATTAAGTTGCTAATGAAACTTTCCATTGTGGCGCAACTGACCTTACAGTGACGACTCCGGGAGTCCCACACCACCAGGTCAGGAAGGCCCCCTCGGCAGTGTCGGAAGTCCACAGCCAGGCGCCGGCACACACCGCTGAGGACGGGGCCGCCCAAGCAGGAAACGAGATCCTGAACCCAAAACACAGGGCTGGTTAGCCATGTCTTACGACAGAGATCCTGCAATACTTTCACTGGCCACGAGACGCAGAAAACTGTAATTCCACAGAAATGGGTTCCAAGGACACCAGGGGTCATTCTGCTGCTTGGGCCACAGGGCCACTGAGCCACCGGCCAAAATGCCCACCGGCAAGCTCTGGGAAATCAGGTTTCCTTCGCTCAGTCAGACTCCTGTCTAGTCGGCAAAGCCCTGGGGAACAGCTGAGGAAGAGGGAATTTGGGGTGAATCCTCAGGAAAAGGACAGTGATGAAGGGCAGTAGTTGCAGGGACAGGAACAGCATCCTTCCTGCTGAGGGTCACAGGCCAGGCAAAGGGAAGCTGTCAACTAAGGGGAAGAAGGCATCCCTGGGCTTATTTTGTGCCCTGACCTGGTCCCACCAGTTACAGTGGCATCCGGACTAGGGGCCTATCATCTACATAAATGTATGCATAGCACCATCACAGAAATACATGTGCATGTACACACATGTGCACACACGTAGGTGTGGATACACATATATACACGCACGCGCACACACACGTACACACACGTATACAGATCTTGCCAAAGCAGACCCAGCACTGGGAGGTGTTGCTCTCTGACCAACTCCCGCGCAGGGTTTCACCTGAGCTTGCTGAAGAGAAGCAAAGCGATCCCAGCTGACGAGGGAAGCCACTCTGCCCTGCTGGGCCTGCCACGCGGCTGCCACCCAGGCCCGCAGGCTCTCCGCGGGCGCGCTGTGAATCCGCCGCAGCCGGGCCTCCACGGCCAGCCGCCGGCTGGTGCAGAAGCCGTCCGTGCACAAGTCCAGCGGGAAGGCCTACGTCGCGGGAAACAAGCCTCGTTCGGTGCCTGGACAGAACCGGTTCATCAGAAGAACATTCCATACCCATAAAATTTGGGAACTGGCCAACCTGATTAAATCGACACATTCTTCTTCTCAGAAGGTAAGTAAAAATTATCTAAGTAATCTAACATAAAAGCAACTCATTGCCCTGGTTTGTCAGCGTCGTAACTGGTGGAAAGAGCTCCCAGGTTACAGCGGTGGAGCCCTCGGCGGGCCCGGGCACCAGCACACACAGGGGCGCCGGGCCCGACAGGAGACCGGTCAAGGTCAAAGCTGAAGAAACCTACGCTACAAGTTTCGAGTGGAACGAAGGTAAAGTAGGTTCAAGATGAAAATTTAACAGATTTACATTTTAAAATCTATGAATCCGGATGTAAAATGAAAGACTATTCTAAGAGAGACTCAGCACCACCCCCAAGACCGTCATTGGCAGGCTTCTGATGGCCGCAGACCCACACGCACAAGGGTGGGAATGAGTCACAAAGTGCAGAAGCATCTGCTTGCCTAAAAAGCACCCGCCGGGCACAGCGTAACCTGAGCACCTGGTAGGCGTTTCTGAAGACGTCTGGTATCCCGTCCATGAAGATGATATCCCACAGGAGGAGGCCATACAGCGTGCTGAAGGTGGACCCTTCCCCATGAATCCCTAAGACAAAGCCAAAGCACAGGAAAATCAAGTTTTTCTGTTTTTTAAAAACCCCCACCATAACCCACTGCTTACTCAATTTGAAGGAAATAGATTTTAGTTTCAAATGCAAAAGCTGTTTTCTTGCCATTCCTAGCTCATTTGTTTACATTACATTGCTTATATACAGAAGACTCGTTTAAAAGCAAAAATCTTAGTAATTATGGGAAAACTTAAATACACATTTCAGAGTCATAAAGTAGCAGTTCCCTAACTTTAGTGAGAAATGTAAGGAACGTGTTTAAAGATAAGTAAGTAAAAGCAGATTCCCTCCTCAGGCTCCAGGGGTTCGATTCGGTGGGTGTGGGTGGGCCGAGACCCCCGCGGGTCCTCTGGTGTAGGGCCCCTTGGCCACACCTGCAGAATGGCTTCCCAGAACAGATCTATCGGAGAAAAACTAGTACCTTGGAGCCTGCGCCCTCTGACCTGGCGGGTGCTGTCTCCATCCACCTCACTGGACCTTGCGTTCCACTGCTTTGTCCTGGACAAGCGTGCCCAGTGTTTCTGAGATTTGGGCTCTTCTAGAAACCTTCCACCTCCGAGACCACCTAGCTCAGACCCCGGCCTGACACCCCATACAACTGTACTGACTGGGCCACGAGCTCCATTGACCACGCAGGTGTCCTAGCAGAGTTGAGACCAGGGGCTCGATCTCGGCTTAGCACGCAGACCTGTCTCCCAGGCAAGTGCTCTGCACTTCCACACACCTGACCGGGGATGGGGGCCATGTGGGGGCTTCTCTCCCCGCATTATGGCCTTGACCAAAGGAGGTGCTGACCCCCACGACCCTGTCCCAGTAGGCAGGCAGAAGGGCTCTTCTGGCCGGTTGGCCCTGTTCCAGTCTGTGCAAGGGCATGGTGCCGCACAGGCCCCGGAGGGCAGAGACCAGGCCGAGGCTGTACGTGTGTCCCGTACGAAAGTACACAGACCAGAGCCTGTGAGAAGCGGCACGGCCAGGCCCCCTCCGTCCTGCCTCCCTGAGGCTGTGCCTTTCATCCCCGTCTCAGTTCTAGCCCCTTGTCCTTGCAGCCTGTCTCAGAGATGCAAAAGGACAGAGCGGGAACAACCGGAACTCACTCAGGCCTCTGGGCTGGAGCTGAGCCCTTTTCACCAGCAAGCTTTACACTGGGCTCCCGGGCTCCTGCCCAGCCAGGGGGTACTGCTGGGTCTCAATTTCCAGCCTGCTTCCTGCCCGAGAGTGCACACTGTCCACTGTCCAGGCAGGAACACTGGCGGTCAGAATTCCCGCGCTCCTAAGCGGTCTACACCATGCGTTTGTATCGGAAATGAAATCATTTTTGGTAAGCTCCTTCTGAGTGATTCTGAAATAATCTTCTCTGAAGGGAGCTTGAGATTGCCCTTAGTCCCAAATCTCCTCTCAAAGAGACTGACAGCAAGGGTTCCACTCATTTTCACTGCATCCATTTTAATAAATGAAGAAGATATTTTATATAAAAATATTTTATACTCTGGAAATGGAATCGTCTGTCCGTTTTTCAGGCTCATGATTAAACCGAAAGCATTCCACTGTGTTCGCCTCACAGCGGGCCCACCACACGCCCTCATATCCGCGCCCTCCACCCTCGACTGCCCAGTTTACTGTCTCCCAGTTTACTTCTCTGGGGATAGCTGCTCATTCTATTCTTTTATTTCTAACCTTTCAGGTCTGTGCTATCTCTGTCTTCACTGGGGTTTGTACTTCTTCCCTTATAGCATCTCCCTTCCCTGTGAGTAATAAAGATACCACACAGATTAATCTTAGCCGTTCTCATACTCATCGTCGTTTCGTGGTCCTCATTAATCTTCTGAATGCTGACATAATACTCAAGAGAAATAATGTCCTGATTTTCACGGATTTAAAGGTGTCAGAATGTTTTTAATCCTCGTGACCCTTCGGCCTGGGCAGAGGGGAGTCCTGCCTGGATGGAGGATGGGCGTGGTGGGCCCCTCCGGAGTGAGCACGCGGGCCACTGTCCGGGGTCGGCTTCCGAGGTCCGAGGGCGGGGAGGGTGGAAGGAACGCCGCAGCGGGCCGGTA